TGAGCTGAGTTATTTGCTTCACACATTGTATCATTGAGAGTTAAAGTAGGTGATGTTCACTACCTACTCTTGGCTATAATCTGAGTGATGGGACTGATATCCAGGTAAGAACTTGAGGGTAGGAGTACTAAACTGAGTAAAATTATTTTTTATTTTTTTGAATTTGTGAGATTAGTAGGAGAGGAGGATAGTCTGAAATGGTAAATATGGGACATGTTATGATAGTAAAATTATTTGGGTGAAAAGAGAGCAATTACAGCAAGTTGTATTCTCATGAGCAAAGGAGGTACAGTCCAATCTCACGGAAAAGATGCTCCATTGGAGGTGTGTGGGTGAGGGGGCCGTGGTGGCAGTCACCAGCTTGATGAGGACAAATCTGAGATCTACTACTTGGCAGCTTTTCCTCTAGAGCTGTGCAATATCATAGCCGCGTGTGGCTAGTTAAGTTAAAGTTAGTTAAAATTAAATACAATTTAAAATTCAGTTTACATGAACCACATTTCAAGTGCTTAATAGCCGCATGCATAGGTGGCTGGTGAATTGGACAGTACAGGCATGGAGCACTGTCATCACTGCAGAAAAGCCTGTGGGACAGTGCCACTGCAGAATCTGGAAGGATGTATGTACACCTTTAGAGAAGGAAATAGCCAGGTTTTTACAGAGTCATGGAATCTGTATGTTTTTGTTCTATAAAATAGTGTATTATTTTGTAAAAGAAGAACTCTGGATATAAGAATGCTCAAGAGGTGGTTAATTTAGTGACTCCGCAGTATCTAAAGTGCATGTCTCTTATTTCTCGTCACTCTGCCATTCACCAAGTTGGGTTTATCCTGGGACTGTTTCCCTCACGGTTCAACACGGCTGCAGCAGTTCCAGGCGATAGTAAAAGATTCTCTGCGCGGTCCGTCTACTGCATTGGAATTTCTTTTCTTCAGAGAACTTTAGTTAGTGATTGTTTAACAGCGTACAAGGTTTCCACTGTGGGTGAATACTGTGGGAAAATATTACTGTGGGTGATAATGAGAGAAAGCTGTTAGTTCAGTTAGTTGCTGTCTTTTGTATAAGTGGTTAGAATTTATGTTTCATGTGCTTGGCAATGCTCTGTCCCATGGATGTAGGTTACACCCGAAACCTGACTGGTCATTACTTAAATTTGGGTGGTGAAGAGATACAAGCACTTTAGTCTTCAGCAGTAAATAGCTGAAGAATAATCCATAAAAATCATTTAGTCTCAAGGCTGAGAGAGAACTGGTAGGGAGATAGCCTGATCCAACCACCCTCTGGTTGAATAATATAAAAATTCTACAGGCTATGAAGACTGATTCATATTTTAAATGTGACTTAAAATTTGATTATCCTTTTAAAATAAATTTAATGGCAAAATTTATCTGATATAATTCTTAGGCTAAGAGCGGAATGTTAAGATATCAAGCAAAATGAAGGAAAGTTCCTAATACATTGTGAATTCTTCCTGGTAGTGTTTTCCTTTATTGAGTGTCAATTTCAAAAGTAGGATTAAGAATGGTATCAGTATACCTAATGCTTTAGTTAATGTTCCTCTATGAGTGAAAAAAAGTGTTTTAGTTCTGTTTTTTTCTTTCAGATAAACACAATTTCATAGAAGTATTTTTCTTCCTGTTATACCAGAAAAGGGAAAGCATTCGCTACCAAGATTATTTGCATATGCTTCAGATTTACTCTAGAAAGTCTAATTTTCCATGAAATAATTTTAGTATCAGTCAGAGGGCTTTAAGAGTTGAAACCAAATTCCTGGTCAGCGTGGCTACCTAAGGAATTTCACAGACACACTCTGCAGACTTTGTGGTGACCACAGTGACGTTCTAAGTGGTTGGCTAAGTTTTATTTTTAACTCAGGGTGATTTGAACTCTAATGGAAAATAGTGGTAAGTTCCTAGTTGGGCTTTTTGTAAAGATTAAAACATTACATACTTTATGTTGATATTTTAAAAGACTTTTATGGAATCCTGTGAAGCAAGAATTAACCCCTATTCCATATGAGCCGTCAGGCTTAAACCTATGAAAGAGAATGCACACATCAGAGGGGCAGTTCGAGGTCTGGGATCCCAGCATCGAGACTTCCTTGTGGGCTCCAGTTGAGAAGCCGGGATGCCTGAGGCTTTCCTCACCAGGTTATGTTTCAGATACAGTGTTTGGATATGGGTTTGATTAGCCACCCCGTAGAGGTATATGGGTACCTCTTCTTTCAGCATACAATCATGTGTGGCCCTTAAAGAGCCATTTTAAAATATGCTAGGTTTAACTTAGTTCCAATATAACTTCTTTAAAAAACATGTTTTTATTGATTTTTAGAGAGTGCACTCACTCCCCATTCTTCCCTTCTCCTCCCTCTGGTGACCATGGTTTTACTTTCTGTTTCTATGAATTTGACCACTCTAGGCACATTATATAAATGGAATCATAATACTTATGCTTTTGTGCCTGGTTTACTTTACTTAGCATTATGTCTTCAATGTTCATCCATGCTATAGAGTGTTTCAGAATTTCCTTTTCAAAGCTGAATAATAATCCATTGCACATATATAATACATTTTATTTATCCATTGATCTGTTTGTGGACACTTGGGTTGTTTCCACGTTTTGGCCATTACAAATGATGTTTCTGTGAATTGAATTTTCTCTGCTTTCTATTCTTTTCGTTATGAACCCAGAAGTGTAATTGCCAGGTCGTCTGGTAATTCTAAATTTTTTGAGGAACTGCCATGCTTTTACCCATAGGAGCTGCATCATTTTGCCTTCCCATCTAAAATACACAAGATATCCCAATTTCTCCACTTCCTTCCCAACATTTGTTATTTTGTGTGTTTTTTTAAAATAAAATTTTTATAATAGCCATCCTAATGGGTATGAAGTTGGGTATCATTATGGTTTTCATTTATATTTTCCTAATGATTAGTGATATTGAGCATCTTTTTATGTGCTTATTGGCCATTTGTACACCTTCTTTGGATAAATACTTATTCAAATCTTTTTTCAAACGGGTTATTTATTTTTTTAGTTACTGAGTTTTAGGAGTTCTTGTTTATATATCCTAGATATTAACCCTTTTTCAGATACATAATTTGAAAAACTTTTCTCCCATGGCTTGTTTTTCATTCTGTTGATATCTTTTTTAATGTATTATTTTAATTTTTAAAATAATTCTTTATTGTTGAAAGTATTACATATACCCCATTTTTCCCCCATTGACTCCCACTAGATAATGTCTTTTGATGTGCAAACATTTTTAATTTTGATGAAGCCCATTTTATCTATTTTTTCTTGTGTAGCAAGTGCCTTTGGTTTCATATGCAAGAAATCATTGCCAAATCCAATGTCATGAATCTTTCCCCATGTATTTTCTTCTAAATGTTTTATAGTTTTAGCTCCGTAAACAGATTTTTGACCCATTTTGAGTTAATTTTTATATACAGTGGAAAGTAAGGACACAACTTTTTTTATTTTTTTGCATGTGGATATTCAGTTTTCCCATTTTCTTGATGTTTTTAAGACTATATACAGACAGTTTTTATTACTATGGGTAATGGCTGGGAGTAAGATAAAGAATGACCTGAGTCATGGGTGAAGCAAAATTGTATTTCTTTATTATCCAGGAATGGATTAACTAGTTTAACCAAAGTAAGTGCAACAGAACCAGGTAAGCAATCACCTCCCCAGAGTCTGCATCATTAGGCAGCTATTGCATTTGTGCACATGGTTAGTTCCTTGATGTGGAGAATGGAGAGGAAAGAAGCTAAGCCAACCCTGAAGCTGATCTGGATAAAGAAGAGTAGATTCTGAAAGCTCTGCCTTTAGGTTTTGCCCTTCCTCTGATGGTGTTCCAGCACCACAATTAGGCTACTCTTTTTAGCATGTTTTCGTCAGTAATGAGTGCTATGCAAATGCTGTCCAATTTTGTTTTTATATCATCAGTGTTTGGTATTGAGGGGTAATTATGTTTTGGCAGAGATAGTAAGAAAAATTTCATAGTATCTTGACTTTTCAAAGAATTTCCAAACACTATAACACAAGTATTGTGTACTTATATTGGGAGGAGACATATCTATTTTTGTGGCAGTTATAAAGATAATGGAATGAAAAAAGAAAAAAAAAGTAGAGTATGGAAATTGTCAGCCGTTGAGAGGCCTTGATTCAATGGGTAAGAATGTGCTGCTCTATCATTTATAAGATGTTTGCTTTGGGCAAGTTGGTTTAACTTTTCCAATCTTTTTTTTTTCATCTGTACAGTGAGAATAATAATACCTAATGCTATGGGGCTTTGTGAGGTTAAGTGAGATGAAATGTGTATGCCAAGTGCTCGACAAGGCTAGGCTGGCTGTAAATGCTCAATTAAGGATCTGTGTCTTCCCTGAGAAGAGATAGGAAGACATATTCTAGGAGAAATACAACAAGCCATGTCTATTAGGTTGTTTTTATTTTGTTTCTGCCTTTTTTGTTGTTCTTTTTAACTACTTCAAATTGTTCCAGCTGAAGCTTGCTAGCATTTGTTCCTTTTGTTTTCTCTTTTCAATTTTTCCCCCATGAAGATGATCTTAGTAATAAAATAGATTGATTATTTCTTGTACTTATCTACTCAGTTCTTATATTTAAGGACTCCCCCCTAAATGCCCCCCCCCCATTTTTAAATACCCTTTTATTGATTTCAGAGAGGAAGGGAGAGTGAGAGATAGAAACATACATAATGAGAGAGAATCATTGATCGGCTGCCTCCTGCAACCCCCTACTGGGGATTGAGCCCAAGGCCGGGCATACGCCCTTGACCTGAGTCAAACCCGGACCCTTCAGTCTGCAGGCTGATGCTCTATGCACTGAGCCAAACTAGTTAAGGGCTTTCTCTCCCTTTTGAAGTGCATAATCAGGTGTTCCTTTTGCTGTACTCTTTTCTGCTTATTAACTATTTCATGGTTTTGTTGAGATATCTCTGAATAATCCTCTTACCCCTTGTCATTGATCCTTCCCAGTGAGGAGAGGGGATGTCCTGGCAGCGTGGAGTGGTATTCGTCCCCTTGTGACAGATCCTAAGTCTGCAAACACTCAGTCCATCTCCCGGAATCATGTTGTGGATATCAGCGAGAGCGGCCTCATCACGATAGCAGGTACGGGCATTACCTTGTTACTTGGGAAAGCTTTAGAGGGGACCTTGTGTTCAGCGGTCACACTGGCACCTCTTTGAAGTCTAATCAACAGGCTTTTTTTTTTTTTTATGATTCTGAGTAAAGTCTAACATCACTTTGCCATATATATATTTTTTTACAAACAACAGGTGGGTTTGTTACTTATACGTTGATAAATGATTAAGTATAAAACAATAAGGGGTAGTATCCTAATGAATTATTTACCAACTTGTTTGTAGGGGGAAAGTGGACAACCTATCGCTCTATGGCAGAAGATACCATCAATGCTGCTATCAAGGCCCATAATTTGAAAGCAGGACCAAGTAGAACAGTTGGGCTTTTTCTTCAAGGGGGCAAAGATTGGAGCCCCACCCTCTACATCAGGCTTGTCCAGGATTATGGCCTGGAAAGTGAGGTGGGTGTGCATTGCCATATTATCTTACTCTTTACCTGCCTAATCCCACCATTGCCAGTAGCAGAAGCAGCAACCGTGTGGCCTCCCTTAATTGGAATTTCCTCTTGGGGGGTTCATTTCCGTCTGTGCACTGTGGACGAGAACTAACGGAGAAAAGAAGAAAAAAAAGAATGGCTTATTTGCTTCAGTGGCCTAAAAAAAAAAAGCACATTTTTAGTTTCTCTTTTAAAATCTAGGGTTTGTTTGCTTTGTTCCTAGCAGACAGGACATCCTAAATTCTCTCTGTCGTGAACATCAGGGGAGCTGTTCTTTAGAAGTGATATTGGGAGCAGAGTGAAGCTGAAGCTCCATCAGTCACTGATACAGTGATACATGTGTGGTAGAGTTCATGCTGGCCTAAGCACTTGGGGCCCAAGTGGTTTCCTCCCACAAAATCAAAATCTAATCCCCTCCCAGAACTATTAGTTACAGGCTGTAGAAAGCTGACAAGATAAGCTTGTAGGTTTTTTTTTGTTGTTTGTTTTTTTTGCTTTGCACCTAAAAGTATTGATATTCAAAGTCCTAATGCAGTTTTGTGTCCCCAGGTGGCACAGCATCTTGCCTCCACCTACGGGGACAAGGCCTTTGAGGTGGCCAAAATGGCAAGTGTGACTGGAAAAAGGTGGCCCATTGTTGGAGTGCGTCTGGTGTCAGAATTTCCATACATTGAAGCAGAGGTATGTGAATGGCCAAATGGGAATCTCTTGTCTGCACGGGGTGCCATTCATCTGTTTGTTTTTCATCTTTCAAAACAATTAAAATGTGGGCTAAGTTTTAATGCACATAAATGAGCTAAAACCTGAAGTAAAATGTCTGCTCAGCCTAGATATTTTTCATTTATACATTTTTATCTTTACTCTAAATTGGTATTGATAATGGTAATCATGATAGTAGAAAATAAAGGATTTCTTTCTGCTCGAGAGCTATCCCAAGTCTTGTTAATTCACAGTTGTTTGTCTTTTTTGTGAATTTGCAACTCTTGTACCACTCATGTACTACCTGATGACATATCTTGATTTGACACTCAACTTCTCAAAGATTTATGCTTTGTTTCTCATTAAGGTTTCACATTTTATGAAAACAGAGATCATGCTTTATATTTAGTTATAATTCACTGCCCCTTAAAACCTGGGTATCCAGTAAGCATGTGCTTAGTGATGGAAGGCAGGGCTTCTGTCTTTCGGTTACTCAGACTGAAATCTTGGGACAGCTTAAAGAGATGAGACCATAACTTTTTGATACTCGTTCTTTTCCTACTCAGCTATGTAAATTAACATCCATATTAAGTATACGCAAAGAGGTATGCGATTACTGTGGGCGGTAAATGAGAAGTGAGGCAGTTTGCAAGTTTGTGGCAGGTTCTATTCAGAAAGAAGGCATTAACTCTTAACTAATTTGTCCCAGTTTCCAAAACTCCTTTGGCAGGCTGATGGGCAACTTGTATGATGTCACTGTTTGTCCCATGCCTACCACAGAACCGGGGTTTATAAAGAAAAACTGTCACTTTTCCTAAGAACAATTGTTTTCAGTAAAATTTTATTTGCTCTTTAAAAAAAAAGCCTAAACTACTAATTTTACTTTAATTCAAAATCAGGTGAAATATGGGATTAAGGAGTATGCCTGCACCGCGGTGGATATGATTTCACGTCGCACTCGCCTGGCTTTTCTAAATGTCCAGGCAGCGGAGGAAGCCCTACCCAGGATTGTTGAGCTGATGGGCAGAGAATTGAATTGGAATGATGCTAAAAAACAGGTATTATATAGAAGTCTTTAAAATTATAGTAACCATTATTAAGATGTAATGTTGGGATCTGTTAATAGAGGCTAGCATAGTTTTTGTGGTGACTTTAGATTTCTTGCCAGTTCCTATGAGTGTGTGTGTGTGTGTGTGTGTGTGTGTTTAATATTGCCAAGTGTTAGGAAACTGGAAAGATGTTCTTGTTCCAAAATGTGTTGGTTGTTTCTGGAAAAATCCTTGTAGAAAAATGCTATCAAATTCATGGTCATAATTCCTGAAAAAAACAAAACAAAACATAATGATTGTGGGTAGACCTTTTTCTGGTTTTCACTGAAAACACTCTTAGAATGTAATCTGCAGTGAAATTCATACTCCTGCGAATTTGCCTTTGGTAGGAAACCTATTACCATCAGTTTTCCTACTTGACCATCAAATGCATATTGATTTGTGTCATTTGAAATTTTATATTTACACCCAAATTAGAAAAAGAAAGCCAGTAATACTCAGATGCCCACATATATAGCCCTGGGCTTGTTGTGATAAACAGAAGATCTTCATTTTTTTTTTAACCAAACTATTATAATATGCAAAATCACTTTCATGTATTTATTCAAAAAATACTTTCTATACTCACTGGTTTACTTCTTTCCCTCCTGGTCTTTCTAGAACCCATTTCATTTAGGCAATTTTGCTGCCACTTTGTTGTAGTAACTCCAGTCACACTCACCAATAACCTCTATCTTGCTCAATATACTTGTCAATGTTCCATCCTCCTTTTACTCAACTAAATAGTGGCATCGACACACTTGATTCCTCCTTGAGCTATTGTTTGGAACACCACCTATCTTAGTCTACTCAGGCTGTGATACTAGACTACTACAGACTGGGTGGCTTCAACAACAGGCATTTATTTCTCTCAAGTCTGAAGGCTAGAACTCTGAGGTCAGGGTGCTAGCCTGGTTGGGTTCTGGTGAGAACCCTCTTCCTGGCTTTCAAACAGCTGCCTTCTTGCTGTGTCCTCACATGGAGGAGAGAGAGAGGGAGAGGGGACCCTTTTCCCAAGATGCATTTAAATCTAATCACCTCCCCAAAAGCTCCATCTCTGAATACTATCACACTGAGCGTTAGGGCTTCAGCAAGCAAATTTGGTTGATTAGGCCTAAAGCTTGACATCATAACCTGATCTAAATCCATTAGCAAATCTCATCATATTTATCTTAAAATCATGGCTTGAACTCATCTATCTATCTATCTATCTATCTATCTATCTATCATCTATCATCTATCATCTATTTATTTTGATCTTTATTGTTGAAAGTATTATGTTATGTCCCCCTTTTTACTTCATGACCCCTTCAACCCCACATGCCCCCATCCCCAGGTCTTCACTACATT